GTTTACTACAAAGCTAAGTTCATATGTTCGAATCTCTATTCGTACAAAATTGATTTTGTGTTTTTCGATAGTTTTAGTTTAGAATACTATAATGAAATATTTTTCCGCTTGTATTTTTACAGAATAAAGGTTATATCAAAGTTTTAACTATTTCTCCGAATTATTTTCATAGATCTTGAAACTTCGGTCAAATTCAGTTTATTCAGTTGTAGACAAAAAGACAAACAACAAATAAAATTTTTAAATAACCAACACGAGAAAGTATAGCAATCGAGCATGGAGAAAAGGACGAAGGTCAATTCGATTAATAAAAAACAGAAATGTATTCATATTTATGTTGAGATACAATCCCAGCACATATCACTCATTTGTTGCTTAGGTTGAGCCATTGTTATTGTAGATCGTGGACCTTTGATAACTCACTTTTCCTGAACAAACTAGTCGTTGTCTTAGTCTAGCTGGACATAAGGAATGACATCAATATTATCTGTTAAGAAAAGGTGAGTAAAATTAGTAATCAATTGTACTAGAACCTCAGTTGAATTTATCATAAATTTCTAAACCAGAGTAGAATAACAGAGAAGGAAAACATACATGCATATGTAGTGTTGAATTCATTCTTTATTAACTATTATAATTTAAGACATCATAATCATGCCATTTGCACATATTTTCTGTGAAAAATATATGTGTATGCTATTTTTCGTTTCTGCTATTCTAGTTTGAGTTGAAAATTTCTAAATTATATAATAAAATTAATGGTGAACACTATTGAGTTATTAGTACAATTCATTTTAAATTTTAAATGTAACAATGATTGACGTATAAGACGGGCATACTCTTCAGAATTTCACTCACGTTTTTTATAAAGATGAACAATTTTTAAATTAGGTCTTATATTTGTACAGACAAAAATTTCTAGAAAATCTCCGAACGATTTTTCGAGTTTTTGGAATAAAACACGTATAGCTCACTTCTGAATAAAAATGTCGAAAATCCGGCTTCGTTACGTTATTCTCCTTTACCATCCCCACAACATGAAACAACTTCGAGTTCTCTGGCTGCTTTTTCGGAGGCGAAATCTTTGTAACGCCAACTATCCCCTTTTGGCCTCTAATAACTCGAAAACAGTTGTGCCTAGAGACTTTGAAGTTTATTTTGTAAACATCTTAGCCTAGGGCCGCTATTCTCTGAAAGTTTCGTGGAGATCGAGCCTATTGTTACCTAAATAGCTTTTTAGGTTGGAAAGCCTTAAAAAAAGTGACAACTGTTTCCTTTATAATCAGGCGTTTTCGTGATAACGTAGAAATAGATTACAATCACTTAAGAAGTCCTAAACCGTGAATTACGCGACACTAATCAGTTTTTGTTAGTACAAATGCTTTATGTGATTACAGACGTCTCGCAAAACACTCGGTTAATAGCTCCGAATATTTTATCACAAGATAAAGTTGTTTTTTTTGGATATAAAGCTAGAAAGAGTTACTCTTAATAGTTAAGAATTTCCATCAGATAACAATTTATTATTACTTATTATAAACGTACGTGTTAGTTGGAGACATGAATTATCTTTTCATAAAAATGACTTCACCGTTTAGTCGTGTTAAATAATATAGAATACATCAGTGCAAACTTGTTATTTCTAACAGATCCTTGTAGTGTTTTACTTTTCTTTCATATTTCTCGAAGTTTTATCTCATTTTTCTTCATATTTTAGATATGTTTAATATAAATCAATAATGCAGAACAAAAATATCTTATCGTCTGAGTAGAAGAGATAATTGAACTAGCATGTTATTATTTATTTATTTCATCTTTTGTTTACACTTCATAAATAATGTTGAATTATCATGTCCTAGTCCTTGTACATGTTCAGTGGATTCAAAACAGTGGATATGTGATATGTCATATGGTCAGATAAATAATGGCACCAATATAGAGCATTTACTTCAAAAACAAAATTTAGATTTAGAATATTTAACCCTATTTCATTTGTTTCGAAATATCTCGTCACAATTATACTTTTCTTCTTTTCCCAATTTATATTCACTAAATTTAACTTCTAATCATTTAACTGAAATCAGTTTTAATTTAACCACACTACCAAATTTACACATACTTATTTTGTCTCAAAATAATTTGACTCAAATAACGTCCAAAACGTTTCATGTTCTTAGTCGACTTGAATATTTAGAATTAAATCATAATGAAATTCGACGAATTGAACCATATTCATTCTCAAATTTATCAAATTTAAAATATATTGATTTACGATATAATAAATTAACAAATTTATATCCACCGGAAATTAAACAGTTTTCTCAACAGAATAAAGTATTATTAATTAACAATAATCCGTTAAAATGTCAATGTATAAACGATAAACAGTTTAAATTTATTTGTGAAAAAGTTACAACATCGAGAGTAGGTTGATTGTACTTAAATGTTTAGTTATGGTTTTTACAACTTTTCAATATTTGCTGCAAACTCATCTTTCTTTGTTTAGAATATTCTGTATGATGATAAGAAATGTCAAACTCCATATTTTGATAAAACAGTCCATCAACTATTACCTATACCAACAACGTTAACACAATTACGTTTTTCTAAATTTATTCTACAATGTCCAATTCAAGGCGAACCATTACCCACTATTATATGGTCAACACCATTTGGTCAATTAACAACATCATCAAGTATAGATCAATTGTATTATTATCGAAATACAACATCTGATTTATATACAAGTATTATGGCATTAGCTGGCCCTCTAACAGCAAGAACAAAACATCATTTAAGAGCCTATAATCATCGATATTTAGAAATAACTCGAGCACGTTCAGCACTAAATTCACATATTGAATGTACAGGATATAATTTACTCGGTAAGATTAAAGTTGAACCTAGAATTACACGTATCAGCCTACAAGCCACCAGTACTACTGTCGAATGCGTCCAAAAGTGTGGGTTCCTCAACTGTCGCCGACGGTGAAAAATCTTGAATAGTTTTGTAGTTGCTTTTTGTAGAAAAATTGCACATAAGTATAAGCAAGCTGTTGATAATCCAAAAATCCAGCAAAATTTTTATTTAGTTGGATAGAACTCGTCAACTTACCTAGAAAAACATCGGTCTTTTAAAAAAAAGATTCAAATATGAGAATTCGGGCAAAAAGTAAAATTTCCATATTTATCGTTCTTCTCATCTGTCCGGACCGTTTTATTCGGATCCGGAGAGGAAGTTACAGATCGAGTTTGGATTGTATTTTTTTGTATGCTGAAAAAACGAATTATTTTTTGAATTGAAAGATTTTGCCTTTCGAAAGGATTTCGGTTTCATTTTTTAATCATTTTTAACGAAAAATATTTTTTTAAAAACTAAAGTCGATGTTTTCCTAGGTAACTCGATGAGCTCTATCCAGCCGAATCAGAAAAAACGAAAAGAACATTTTCTCGATTTTTGGATTACCGACACTTTAAAAAAAACGGTCAGCCGCCGCTGGAGGTGAAAACGTTTTCAAATGCTTCTAACTGCTGCCGTCGATCGGAAAAATGTTTTAGTCAGCCGCTGCCGACCAAATGATCGGCTAACACCTCTACCTACAAGTAAAGCTAATAGCTGTTTTTTCATTGTTTACTTTTAGGTAGTTATACATATAAATTTTCTTTAAACGTGAATACTCATATTCAAGATCGTTTATTTTGGCAACTAATATACACAGTCTCTTGTGGTCTGTTTATTTCGTTAGTAGCTGGTGCTCTATGTATATCGATGAAACGTACTTACTATTCAAAAGATAACATCAAAACGCCACCTATTTATCCCACAATGGCTCCAAACTCAGCTTCGCGTACACCACCAAATTTTGCCATGAATGAATGGTTATCATTGGCCTATGGAAATATTAGTGATACTCTGGAACAAGTTCGCGATAAATTACGAGCCAGTGTTCAACAAGTGAGTGTTCATATGGGTACAACAATGGCAAGAGGAATGGAATTATTTACACATGGTTTGGAGCATGCAGGTGGTACTTTAAGACAAACAGCTGAAACATCAGCAGCCTATTTACAATCGTTTCGTGAAACAAGTCAACAACGCCTGAATACAATTCGTGTGACAACATTAACATCGTTGAGACATCCTGGTAATATGTTGGCAACAAGAATGAGAGCAGGAATGAATATTTTATATTCAAATTTTAACCCGCTTCGTGAGTTTTGTGGCACAACAACCGGAATAGGGGTTGGGCATGCATCAGTAGGACAACAAATGGATCAGAAATTAACAACCATAGACGAAGAAGGACAAGAGATGGGAATCGATGGTAAGAACTATTGTAATGTTCTAGAGGTAGAACATCTATATCATTCTCTTCTTTTTTCTTCTAGATAACATTCCAGAGTCAGGTGTTATTCAGACTTCTGCTCTCATTCATCATCATCGTTCTCCTCATCTTCAATATACTGGTACTCAACTTCAATTACCCGTTCTTCACAATGCTGGTATTGGTCAGTTATCTACAGCAACAGCGACCGCATTACTAATGAATAATTTTGACGACGGAGATACTCTCGAAAATGAATCGGAAGTTTCTCATTCAACTCCATTACTAAAATGGAATGGAGGAGGAAATTTAGCGGCAGGCATTGGAACATTTCAGCATGATGGAGATGAGCTTGTTTATATTGAAGATAAAGAACGTTTTACAATGTACGGACAAAAGCGCCCACCAGATGATATAAAATAAATCATCATTCTCATGAGAAAAATCAAAAATAGAGCATGCTTCTTTTTAGTCTTTCACTACACAGTCAAATATGAATGAATTTATTAAATTAAATTTTTAATATTCATATTTTTACCAAACACTAACATTCAATGAAAACTAAGAGAAAGAATCAGTATCTAGAACATTATCGTTAACGTTCTTTAAATTAATGTGTAACACAGGGCAGAATTCTTTTTCTTTCTAATTTCAACCAAAAGCGCGAATGGAATTTTTCACTCAAGAGTGAAAAGAGACTTTGTTGTTTTGACCTTTTTTTCTAACATATGTGAACCTATGTAGAATGTTTTAGTTTTCTGTGAAGCATTACTGAGTAATCAGAAATGTTATGTGCCACTTTCTCAAAGCAAGTAGACAATTATCTTTTTCTACCATTATACACAACTCTATTTGCGTATATGTTTGTATATAAAATGTTTATTTTTTATCTTCATGTCCTTGACATTTTTACCAGTTGTTGATTTATTTGTCCTTCTCAGTATCATAAAAAGGTTTATAAAAATTGACTGATTAAATGTTGTAATTGTTATTGTTGTTATTATTTTCCACAGTGCAATTGAACTGCTTTATTTATTTATTTATTTTGTTTTTCATCACCAGTCGATTGTTTATTCTGAAAGAAGTAGAAGAAGAAGTAACAGTGATAAAAAAAAAATGGGTTTTCAATAGATGAAAAGAGTTCTTTTTTTTGTATAGTAGTTTTTATTTATCAAAGTATAGTTGATATATATATACGTTTTGTATCTTCTTTGAGAAAAGGACATAGAACATAATTAGATCGAAAGGGTTTAAATGATAATGTGAATTGATACCGTGGGGGTTCTTACTTAGATTAAATTGGCGACATGCAAACTACATTATCTGCAAATCACGCGAAGGTAGACAGTTCTATTATACTGTTTACTTTCGCAATATGAGTTTTAAAATATTATTTACTAAATTAGTGGTAATTTAAAGTATCGTTGATGGATGTAGGTTCATCTCTTTTTAGATATAAATGCTATGTTGGCTATTGACTTTTTCATTTCTTGTTTAATCCTTTATCCTCGGCTGTCCACAGACATAGACATTGATAAAATCGATATACAGAAATAACGAAGCATTGTATCAAAACCGGATTTTGTTCCAAACTGAAAGACTTCATCAGCTCTCGATTGGTAGAAAAAAAACTATGGATCTTGATCAGGGTAATTAACTTCTAAAACTGTTGCAAATTATTAAAGTTTTTTAAAAACTTTTTCCATAGATTTAACTATACAAAGATTTTTACATGTAGTGGTTAATTACTATTGCTATAAGGATCCTTTTTATAATTATACAGCAAAAGAAATTTTCTGTCAAGTTACTTTGAAGCACCGGTCCAGTAATGAAATGTTCACACCTGTGAACTTGAGGAAGGGGAGTAACATAGAAAGAATTAATTTTTGAACATATACACATTCCTCCTTTCACTTTTTTTTCTTATAAGGTAAACAATTTTATTTTCGTTTTTTTCCCATAGGTGGATAGGGAAAATCGTGCTGCATAGAAAAAACTTAATCCAACAATTAAGGAACACAATTTTCAGTTAGAAAAATTTGAAATATCGATTTTTCAAAAATAGGTAATTATAGGCAACATTTTGAATAAAACTCAAAATTCAACTATTCATTTTATTTTTAAAATTCCAAAACAATTTATTTCTTACTCTTCATCGAAAACTGAGTCTAGAAAAATAGATTTTTAAAATTTTAAAACTCAAATAGCGTCGAGAACCGTTCAAGACGAGCAGAATGGTAAAACGTCCGTTGGCCAATCTTTCAAACCTATCTAGTCCTAGAATTTGGAAGATAAAAGTTTCTTTCATACTTCATTCTAACTGATATATATATGAGAGAAAAAATTATGTATCGGTAATGAAAAATTTTATTTCGTTGTCGAAAAATTTAATTTTTATGAATTAAGTGAAAATCTCTTTGAAATTGGGTCTGTAGTTTGCGATTTTCTTGGTCAGAATTTAACATTTTGATAAAAACAAGGTCATATCGGAATTAGGATCAAAAACTAGCTAGTAGATATTTAAAGCAAAGATCAAGAGAATGCAAAAATTAATGCTGATACCATTTGGAGATACACAGGGAGAAATAAGATTTATTAGATACTTGTTTTTCTCATCTCAGTCTACTATTTTCTTTCTTCTGTTGAATCTATTTCTAGCAAGGCACGAAACGGACCGGTTGGCCCGCTCGCCCCGGTTCAGAATTTTGCGGGCGGGCGGTCTCGGTCCAGGCTATTCTTGGGCCGAGCTGAGGCGGTTCACGGGCCGGTCAGCCAATTTAAATAGTCGGGCTCCCGGTCCGACTCTGTTTTATTATTATTTCATTTTTTTGTGAAAAATCGTTCTTCATTTAAGTTTATGTTGATAAACTACTTGATCATCCATACAGAATAGAGTTCTGTGATAAAGTATGCATTAGTCTATTGATCTAACGGTAAAGGGATGCCGTTGCTACGGATTCCGTCGAATTTTTGGGGCAGTTTTATTCTGCCTTAAATACATTGCAAAAGAATTCTAATCAATAATTATCGCTTCAAAATAAAATTGAGTTTGTAATCGTCTAAATGCACTAGAACTACACTTAGACTATATTAGTGATTTGTGAATAAATGCACAAGCAATGTATTTAAGGCAGAATAAAACTGCCCCAAAAATGCGACGAAAAATCACGAAAGGAAGCACTTTTTTTTTGGCCGTTAGATCATATACTACAGATCAATAGAAACATTGGTGACCTTTATCATTATAAACGAAAATCCATGCTTATCCTAACCTACATTAGTAATATAAACATTTCATAAAGTGTTGAAAAACCTTGTCGGGTCAAGTCAGGCCGGGCCAGTCGGGTCGCATAAAATCACAGTTCAGACCGGGCAGGCTGAATAATCAATTCATACGGGCCGGTCGGGATACGTCACAGTAAATACCGAGTAGGTCGGGACGGGTCGCTAAAAATATGGCTCGGTGCCAGCCCTGATTTCTAGTCATTTCCACCAAAAAGTATATTTTGTTTTGAATAAACAGATGGTATAATGAAAATAAATGGAATAGAATATAAAACAATTCAAGAGTTAGAATCGAAATATAAAACTTGGAATAAAAGTAAATTAAGACTCTTTAATGATACGCGATTCTAAAGCTATCGTGAATATTCATCCACTTACATGTCATCATAGTAGTAAAAACAATTGTTATTGTAAACGTAGTTGTAAATATCACTCGCTCGGCTGTAAGCGACGAAATACCTTTTTACCGGAGGGATTCACCTGTTTTTTGTTTATTTCAGCGCCGTATCCTGTAATCGACATCAAGAAAGTCAAGAACAATTTGATCGATTATTGACTTTATTTCAACCAACTACAGTCAGAAATAATGTTGTGTCTACTAATTCTACATCAATAATTTAGTGGTTTTTTGAGTGTGTTAACATAGGCAATGAAAAGGAAAATTAAAAAAATATTTCCTTCTTTAAACAGAAGCAATTCCTGCACCATCTTCTATAACACCACAAAATCAAACACCAGCGTCAGCAACCAGAACGGTTCTACAAGCAACATCTATGTAATTATCAAGCAGCACAATTCTATAAACGACAAATCACACTGTAAGCACAAGATGTTATCAGTCAAATGTTTTTACTTCACTCTAGCAAAATTTATTCAGAGATTTTGTTCTATTCTTTAAGATATCTTGCATTAAAAAGCCGTATATTTTCTATGAATTAATAGAAAAATTTAGACTTTTAAGAATATAGCATTCGATTCATGTCTTCAATAAATTATCGTTAAATTCTCACCTTGTATATAGATTCTTGTTCCAGTGGACTATATTTTTGTGTTTATTTAAGGTATCTTTATTTGATCACGACAATATTGACGATGATATATTAGTATAGATTTTCCATTATCACAACAAAATCATTCAACATCAATCATATTTTATACATTGGAAACAAAAAAACAACTAAAGTGACTACCTCAACATTGTCTTTGAGCCATGGATCATGTGGAATGCTAGATACAAGACCATTATCATCGGCTACAACTTCAATAATACTCCAAGGATCAAAAAGTAATTTCTATTGTTTATAATGAGTCTTTCTACTTTTTTTTAATGGCTTTCTCTTGCAATATATGCGTCTAATATTTTTTTTATTATCTTTTAAAGTTCATTTTAGAACTGATTAATGCTGATATTTTACGCTTTATTTTTTTTTATTGTTATTATTGTTTTACTACGGTACGAATTTTTATTTCTGTAATTCTTACTGTGTATATTTTTGAATTAAATTTGAAACTGAATTTTGATGTATTTCGATATACGACAACTATCAGAGTAAAAACTGTTAGATGATTACACAATAGTATCTGATGGAATCCTGCCCGTTATATTGCATCGCTACTATACTGTTGATCGCTCAAATATTAGCGAAAACTGGCTTCGCTTAGAACAAAAGTGATTTTAAACGGAACAAGTTTCTGCAAATATTTGAGCGATCAATGGTATAGCAGCAATGCAGTATAAATCCAAAACTGACATCGGGATAACGAAGACTTTTCTCTATAGAATGAATTAGAGTAGAGAATTTATAATAACTGCACAAAAAGATATCGACCGATCTAAAAGATGCCATCGGCATAAGCAAATTGAAATTTGATCGATGTTAACTCCTGAAAATTTCTCATAGTGGGCAAAATCGACGTCAACTATATAGTTGACGACGGTTTGTCCAGCTAACGATCACCCTTTTTTTCGCTCTTTTTCAAAAAATTATTGTAATAAAGCTACAAACTAATCTAAAATTGTTTTCGTTTTTCTTTGATTAATACAGATTAATCAGAATAGTTTCGAACTTGAAAAGCTATCACGTTTTGTAGAGCAAGCAATTTTCCACAAACTGCTATACTTGTTCAATTTTCACCAGCTCGTCTTCACTCTGTTAGATACGTTTTTCAGATAGCCCCAAAATCGATCTTTTCGACTGTTTGTACAACAGCTGTATTTTCATAACGAATTAACGTTCGGATCCAGCCACTTTTCATTTTATAGAGAAATGTTTAATCTACTCAATTATCTGGTTGCAATTTTAGATTAGTTTGTAGTTTTATTGCAATAATTTTTTGAAAAAGGACGAAAACAAGGGACCGTTAGTTGAACATACAATATTTTTTTATCAGCAGTACTCTCATTTTGTGATGTTTTTGTCAAAATTTTCGCACACTTTTTGCCAAACAAATCCAACGTCAAAGAATCCATCATTTTTGTCTGCGTTTTCTTGTACTGCAGTTAATTTTACATGCAAAAATGCACAAAAACTGAGAGAATTTTTGCCTTTTGTCGCAGACGATTCTTCCACACTACACTGCGTACGCATTTTTCAATGAAATATTCGTTTTTTTTTGAAATAACAACGCAATAACCGATCAGTCACCATGATGAGTCATCATCATATAAAATAGTGATGAGTTAAGGGTGACGGTTGCGGGATATAGCAAAAAAGTACTGATGGAATATCAAAAATGTTTTTTGTTTTCAAAACATCGTATAAAATTTTATGAGTGAATTTTGTGTGTAATATTCCATGCATTAATTACGAAATAATGATGATGCTTTTTGCGTTATTTTGAAAATTGTTTCACTTTTAACTAAATTCATGCATGTAATGTTACGTGAGTAACGTAAATTTTACTACAGATTTTAGCAAAACAATAGACTATAATACTTCCGGTTTTTTGACAATAAATCTTTCATGAAATTTCGACATGCGATCTTTTCTTCGTGTAATATGATGTTTTTAGAATGCAAGTACAAATTGATTTAGATCGTTTCTGATAGATTCTGAATTCTAGAAAAAGATATTTTCACACTTCCTACGTGTCTCTTCGATTGTTCCTTGAAACCGAAGTGATTATGGATAATTTTTTATGCGTATCATGAATCTAATGTCCGTTGGTCTCCACACGGTCTTTCAGAGCCTCTGGTCAAATATACGATCACTAAAAACCTATCACAAACCCTATAAACTTAAATAATAACAAAATCAAGTTATCATTTTTTATCGGAAAAAATCTCACCCATGTTTCATTTTTTATAAGAAAATCGTCGATATTCTGCGGTATTTCTGCTGTGTTGCCACCACAATAAGCAATACCGACGGTATACAGTGTTCACCGCACGTTATACCGTTAGTATATCTTGCTCGTTGTCGTGGCAACACAGCAGAAATATCGCGGTTTATCAGCGGTATTTAAGATCGATAATTTTCCTATAAAAAACGAGACATGGCAGTCTGATCTTATTGAATTTCTAGAGAACACAAATTCGAACAGAGGTTCTGAAAGATTGTGTGAAGTCGAAGGAATAATAGATTCGTGATCAGCATCAAAAATTGTCCATAATCTAGTTGATTTCAAGAGAAAATCGAGAATCCTCGTCAGATATAATTAACCCTACGCTTTTTTTTTCTTTAGACGTTATAACAAAGTTGTTAGGTATTTTGTTATTCTCGTTGAGCGACAACGACTTCAACAGAAATACGACTCAACATCGTTAAGAACCAAAATACCAACATTTATCCCTTGTGTAATCGTTATCTTATTCATCTTTATTTTTAAATCTTATGCAAATCCTACAACCACTAAATTCACCAAAAGAAATAACAATAAATTTATCATCATCTTTATTTGATCCCGACTCTCCGATTCAATTTCGTTTTTTGAGATCAGGTGATCAAGATGAAGTCAAACTGTTATGTCGCGATTGGTTTCCAATTGAATATCCAGATAAATGGTACGATGATATATCAAATGAAGGAAAATATTATGCTCTAGCCGCGTGTGTTTATAATCGAATTATTGGACTTATCGTAGCGGACAATTTACAATTGTCACATTGTAATAAAGAAGATCAAACTATTTTAAATAAATCATTTTCATTAACAACACAAGTATGTTATCATAGCTAAGTGAACATAAAATATATAGATATGTTCTCAGTTTGCTGTATGTTTTAGGTCTGTTATATATTAATATTGGGTGTTGTCAAAGAATATCGTCGCCATGGTTTAGCTGGTCATTTATTATCACATTTATTGAATTATTTACATTCAAGATCGGTGTGTAAAGCAGTATATTTACATGTTTTATGTACAAATCGATCAGCAATTAAATTTTATGAATCAAAACAATTTCAATATCGTCTCTATTTACCTTATTACTATTCTATTAGAGGACAACCGTACGATGGTTACTGTTATGTATTGTATATTAACGGTGGTCAACCACCGTATTCGACTCTTGACTATATAAATACTCTGTGGAGATATCTACTAAAAACGAATCCATGTAAATTCTTATATTCTATTGGATATTGGTGTGAAAGTCGTTTGAATTATGATATTAGTAATTGCAATAACGATACAAGAGCAGTTATTGGTTATAAATCAATATCAAGAATTATTTGATTTATAAAAAATCTCCGTCCATCTATCACTATCAGATAGTAGAATTACTTAATTTGTATTGAGCAAAAATGTTGCCTATTTTATTTGATATTAGGAAATAATTACAATTTCATAGAAGCATAACTGAAACTTTGGCTCTTTTTCTTTGAGAAGTATAATTTTGTGACTATCGATTAAATATGTGTTCCATTCATTAGAAGTTTAATTTATATTTGTAAATTACCAATACTTTGTTATAGAATCAACCACGTACAATCGTATGTAGTCCCCTTGTTTTGAGCGAATTTTTTTTGTTTTATAGTCCCTCTTGATTAGTGCAATAATACCAGTTTACATTTAAATACTTTCTTCGAACAAAAAACACTCAATAATAAACATGGTGCTATTGAACAAAGCTCTCTCTCTCTTTCTCTCACAAATTGTCTTCACGAATTCAATTAAACATGAGCCGAGTTATCGAAGACAGTTATTCGATGTTATTTTTTCTTACTTTAATAAGCAGTGAATTTATAAAGATAGTTTGTTTTATATTTTTTTGTGTGTGTTTATAGCCATCACAGCTCATAACATATTCTATATGGTCACAAATCGGTTTTTTTTGTTGTTTTTTTTGTTTTTTTTAAACAAAACCTCACTTTTGAATAAATGAATATGTATAATTCGCGCGAAGTGGAATAGAAGTACCAATTGCGTGTTCCATCCGTCTGAAAAGCCACAACGTAATGAATATGTTGACGTTCTGTTCGACGTATGAAGTCGATGTTTGAACATAGAACCTTTGAATTATGTAACCAACAATATTATCACCAAGTCATCTGGTTTTTGTATTTTGAGGTATGACCGAACCTCTTTCACAATTTCAAACGTTACCTTTCATATTGTATTTTGATCATGTAAATGAATTAACTAGTTTCCAATGGTATCTTCTCATTATATTTAGACAAAACATTTCTTTATTAGATGATCAACAATATTCGATTAAAGTCGAGAAAAGTTCATTGTTAAATCAAAAATTGCATTACTCCCTTCATTTGGTGAAGGCTAAATACTGTACGAACTCAATGTACGTATATATATATATACGTCTAGTTGTTTATTTATATGTTATCGGATATAATGAATACTTAACTCTATGAAAAATATTCTGACACATCTGATAATAATATAGACTCTATGCTCTACACTATCCAAGTGTTATAGGACATAAATAATAGAACTAGTGTTATGTCTGTCATCAAACAAGAAAATGAGACGAGTAGCAACATTAAATAAGATGAAATAGAGTGTCTCCAAAACTAACAGGACTGGACAAAAACAAAAAATACATGGATCCAAACTTTATTTTTAGTATATATTTGTAATTAATTAAAAAGCCGATAGTACGAAGAGACAAAACTAATACGTTAGAATGAGAACTGTTTTAACTTTACCTTTTATCTCGATTATAAATAGAATGATTTTAGTTGAGTCTTGTGACAAGATATTTTTGCAACTAACTACTATTAGTTTTTCCTCTTTACTTTTAGTTGGTCTACTTTATTCTATTGTTTCACAACTTTAAATTGACTCTTAAAATTTTATTAAAGATCGAACGATAATGATGAAAAACATTACAGTTTTTTTTTTCTATTTTAATAAGTATCTCTTTGTTTCGCCTATATTTGGTTGCTTGTTAAGTATAAAAAAAAGAAAATGAAATAAAAATAATGAGATCTCCTATTTTGCCGTTTATTCTCAATAGTTCACAAGTACATCTTCTATCTTTTATGTTCTCCTTAAGACAGAGAAAAAGAGAACTAAAGAGCTTCTCATTTGAAATTCTAATATACTCATACGCGAACGGAATTAAGTTATTTACGTTTTATTTTGATAAAAAAAGAGAGTAGATTAGTCGTCTTACAAGTGATTCATTACGCGAAGTGCATTTTTTAAGAATATTATAAACAAAATGCTAACTTAATTAATGAGGAGAAGAAAATTTATATGCAGGATCACTGTCTATATTCCATTAAATTATTTATTTAATCTCTTTTCGTAAAGATGTTTTCGAAGATATTGTAAAATAATACCGTTTGTCTTCAATAACTAATTCTTGTTAAGATCTTATAATTTTAAGAATTGTTTTTTCTTACATATATCTCGTTACTAGTTTTCTCCTATTGAGAAAATCAATCATATTGGATATGATCGATTTCTTGAGATCTATTTTTGATGATTGTTCATTTTTGTGATGAATTAGACGGTGTTTCACACTTGATTAATGAACTCAAACGAAATATGTTCATTTGAAAAAATTAAACAGAAGACTAAGTGTCACTGAGAAAATAATCAAAATGATGTATTTTTCTGTATTATTCTTCTCTATTAACGTTTGTTGTTCAGGTATCTTACAATAACGGTAATTTGGCTTGAAAAGAAACTCCAATGCCATCGAAAGAAAATTTGATTATGTTTCAAAAGAGATACTTCTTAATTGATATATGTTACCGAACACTCACGCACACTTTGGATATTGCTTATGATGGTGTCTGATCTTACAAAGCCAATTATGATGAACTTTATGATAAAGTGCTGAAGATGTTCTATATATTACACTGAAAGCTCTACTTTTATTTTGTCAATAGAAATGCCAGTTGTGAATATCATACAATTATTATTATCAGTTCTAAATTTGTTACTCAACAAATTATGTTAATGATGGATTTGTCACTCTTTTGAGAAGATACAGATAATTTATTAGAAATTTATTCTCAAAAAAAAGGCAAAGAGAGACATGAGAAACAAAAGTTTCATATAATCGATTAGCCATATTAAAAAATTAATAATGATCTTTTTTACATGCGTAACACCTTTAGTTGTTTTCGAATAGGAGAAGCTAGAGTAGGAAACAGAAGAGGTTTTTAACTGATGAAAAAGTTGTGAGATAATTAAAATTGTCATGAAACTCGATAAACATATTATTTACTAACTAAAACGTTGCTCTCCTTTTTTTCTCTTTCACTTATCTTCAATTAGTGTTTTTAGAACGTTGGGTAAATAATATGCAAAAAAACAATGTATGAGCGGAAGGATGAAAGCCAACGTTGTTCAAAAAATAAATGTGTGACATAACTAGTCAGAATATAGTCCTCAACGGTATTTTTGAGCACATAAATTCATAAAAGATCACTCTAAATCTTCCAAATGTCATGTTTACATAATAAGACTTTTTTTCATGTTCATACAACGAATTTATTTTTCACTGTTTTTGTGTATAAAAAAAAAAATAAAATACACAGCAAGAAAAAAAAAAAAGAATTATACTCTCTAATTTAGTCATTCTGAATTAACCGTACTCGATGACATGGTTTTGGATGAAATTCTCCGAATATATTTAGTTCTAACATACACATAACAACAATAACTGTAAACCAAATAACAATGAGAAAAACTCCGTAGGATTTTGTTAGACGACATCTATTGAGAAAAAACGTTAGTAGAAATAATGCTAATGATGCAAACAAAATAATTGTTGAATATTGTAAACCTTTACTATAGACTTCAACATAATCTGGTCCTACTGGAGGCGTACTACGAATTAAATTTCGAAATAACCATGGTATACCCAAACCCATGAGAATATCAAATACATTAGAACCAATTGAACCGGCAATGGCCATTTCAGGATGACCTCTTCTTGTCATTACTACCGCATTGAATATTTCTTCTGTTGATGAACCAGCTGCTAAAAGTGTTAAGCCCATTACAGAATCAGGAATATTTAAAGTATAGCCAACAATAACAACTAACCAAACAAGAACATAAGCCAAACCGGCAACCTGAAGAAGAAAATGAAAGATCATTAATAGGTTTAGATGAATTTAGTATGAAAATTTCTTCTATATCTTTTATTTTCGAACTAAAATCTTTAATTGTATAATCTTCTTCAGCTTGTACTTAAAGACTCTTTTAATGAACTGAGAATAGCAGAAGACATCTACAAGACAAGAGTTATATTTTTTTCTAAATTTAATTCATATACAATATATTCGGTTTTTATTCTTGAAAAAGAATCGATTGAGTATAAAATCTTTGGTAGAGATCTTGCTCTTGAGTCAATACTAATCGAGTTATACTAATGTTATCAGATCAGACACTACATTAGAGATACATGTATTTGGCTATGTTCATATCTACTGTAAAAAATACAAAGGATATCTATAACGAAGGAGTGCATTGACTGTCTGTTTCTTGACATGAATATTAGAGTATAATAAGTGTTTACGCTCAGAAAAGTGATAATTTTCTCAGATTATCACTATCCTTTATTTTTTATTTTTTTGTACACATATTTATGTATGGGTGGAGTGTTTACTATGTTTCTTACCCATATGGTGGACATGACAAATGTTAAATAATAGTAGTCTCTAAATACGGCTGTTCGACAATCTGGTATTGTTATGTGCATTAATAATCTAACAGGATATAATAAAATCCATTTAATTAATTTATGTGTTTTCTTTGGTGGTTTAGTAGGTGAAAAGATTTCTGTTGCTTCAGCAACAATATGTTGACCATCTCGAAGACGTTTTTTACTCGGTTTATACGAATGAGATGAAGCATGAGATTTTCGATCACCATCACCTGTATTCAACGCTGATTCACTGACTGAACGAGCTAGTGGATGATTCTGATGAATACTAACAGAACCGGTTGTATGTTCATCGAGAGCGATTGATGTTAAAGGAACATTAACACCATCATTAACACTTGGTTTACGTTCAGATTCATTATAATTTTTTTGTTGACCATGTACCAAACGGGATATACGATCGTTGAATTTCATTATAATTATATAAACAAAATAGAGTAGAACAAGAGCCATTGCTTCATACCAGTATATTTTTGAATCTCGAATAATTATATATAAAACAGCGACAGCTATACAATAGAAACCGGCATCTCGAACGATCGGATAAGCATCAAGCTCACATACTGTCTTGGTTATTAGAGCACATAGGGCAACAACAAAAAGAATATTAAATACTGCTGATCCAACGATTGTACCAAGAGCAATATCACTTTTAACAAAAAATACACCAACCAATGAAGTAAAAAATTCACTGGCAGATGTTGCCATTGCCATAAATGTCGCTCCAGCTACATCCTAAAGAAACATATGTTAATAAATTTTAAGATCAGATGAAATTATAAAATGTTTTTTTTTTTCTCGATATGTTTCATTGTCGTACATTATACGAAAGATAATAAATGAACTATACTTACTGGTGTTAGATTAAAATTAAAAGCAATACGTTCTAATGCTGTTGCAAAATAATCGTCACATACCTAAAAAAAAATGAAATATATTAAAAATAGTTTAAAGTAGAAAAAGTAGTAGTTATATATACAATTTCTAAAGTGGCAAATAAATAGCAAATAATAATAATATGCAATAGTATTCCTCCATGACGTTTTTGTTGATCAGTAAGAAAATCAGGTGGAAATTCATCAATTGAAACTGGTGAACACTTGTTAACCCATTCATCATTAATCGATAAACTTTTATTATATGATGAAGATGTTGATAATAATTGAATTGTTGTTGATTGAGCATACGAAAAATAATTATGAAATATAAATGAAAATAATATACATAAAACAATTTTACGACGTTTAAATAATAAAGAGAAGAATGAAAGTAAATTTGATTGTTGGATTAATTTGTTTGCATCTGACATTGTTTTTTATTATTATTTTATTATTATTCTTATTTTTTGTTGAATTTGAGATGTTTATTATTAATAAATACTAAATAGAAGATTAAAAATGATTAGTAAAGAGTTTTTCTCACAGTACAATATAATATAAATGTTGTCAGATAATAATTAAATTTAGGTATAAGTAAAACAATTTTATTATGGTTAAAGAAAGAAAGAAGAAAAGAAAAAAATATGAAATGAATCTTCTTATAAATGATACTAATTTAATTAATTTTATATTTAACACCAAAGATAAGAGAAAACTATTTGTTTTTATTTCTAATTTTAGTTTTTTTTTGTTATTTTAAAAAAAAAAAACCTGTTCATTTCTAAGGAAATAAAAATAAGTGGTTCTATAGTACAATATCAATAAATTCGTTCAAAAAAAATGTCGTTGTAAATTATTGGAAAACAAAAAAAAAATATACATTGAACAACGAGTCATTGCACAACTTCAATCGTGCACAGAATATAGGAAAGAACAGCAAAATTGATTTTTATAGTTTGACAGCAAAGATAGAGCTCATATGTTCGATTCTAGCTTTGTGCAAGAATTACTCTTATATTTTGATAGTTTAAGTTTCAAAATGATATAATGAAAAATTATATTTTCAATTTCTGATTTTAATTCAAGAATTAAATTTTAAACCAAATCACTTTCTAATATTCTACAACTATTCATTAGTTTATACTGAAATTTTATTTTGTCATTTTATTTAAAGAATAGAAATTATTTTTGGAAAATTACGGCTAATTATCTATGTTTAAGGTAAATATTTATTTCATATTATCGTTCAATTATCTTTTCTTTTTTTTACAGTTTTTAATCCTCTTTTATATCATCAATTTATAATGACTTTAGATAAATCTACTTGTTAAATTCACATTTATATAACACAATGATTTGTCGAAGGTAATTAATATAATTGGATACTTACCAAAATTTTGTTAAATTATCATCTGTTAAATATTATGTACAATTTTTTAAAGAAATAAAAATATTTAACTATGGTCAACGTTCAAAATTTTCTTCTTCCTTAAAAAAATAATCGTTGTAGAACGCATCATAATCATTTTATAGTCTTTCTACTCTCGCTATGATATGAGGAAAAAAAAAAATTATAATCATAATAATTTTGTTTCAGACTTTTCTTCTTTTTCTTCTCTTTTTTTTTTCAAAGAGCATATAATGTATGAAAGACAGGGAGAAAAACGTTTTTCATAACTAGTTTATATACTTCTCTCCCGTAGACTATATTTCCAAAAAGAAAAAAACTTTTTTCCTTCTACTTAGTATATTTATATACACGACATATACACTAAAAATAGTAAAAATAGAAGAGAAGATTTATAATGAGCATACAGAAAAAGAAAAAGAAAAACTGATGATCATAGTAGGGAACAAAAGAAGAGAAAAAACGATAGAAACGAGAAAATGAATAGCGACACTATTTTTCAAACTAGACACAAAACTCCTACAGCTCTGACACATAATTTTTTTTTCTCCTGGTTATACATGGGAGAAACGTGCTAGAACATTATTTTATCAGTAACAGAATAAATTAGAAATATCTACTTGATTTTGTTTTGTAATACCGGAAAATATATGATCTATCGATATAACTGTTTACATCTTAAGTGAGCTAATAAAAAAATTTTAATAGGCTTTCCAATTGAAATTTAAAAATAAAATAAAAGAAAAAAAAAGTAATAATAATCGTTATTATCCTGTATACAGTATCATTATTATTAGAAAAAAAAAGCCAACCGGAAAAAGACAAAGTAATTTCCGAAACATAAACGGATGAATAATGATCGAAGGAAGGAAATAGAACATATCTATTATTATTGTTTTGATGGTTTTATTTTTTTGCATGATATACATATCTAAGAAATATAATACAGTTTTTCTTTTTGGTATTTTTCGTCTATATATTTCGTATAGAAAACAGATTATATGTAACACCTTCGACCAAATACGAACATATCGTTTTGACTTAGATTATGCACGTCTAATGAACACATGAACTGGTATAACAGAGAGAAACAAATATCCGAAAAACAAATGCTTGATTTCTAATGTATGAACAAGAAGCGAAAAGAAAAAGAACACAAAATGATCATATAGCTGAAAATGTAGATCATAATCGATCAGTTGTTTAAACTATTTATTTTTAAATTATTTGAACCAAAATGAATTCTATTAAATAGGAACAATAGACGTATTCAATATAAAAAGTAGGAAAAATTTAACTTTTTATTTATTTTCTAGATCAAACGAATAATTTTATTTCTTGTATTTTTTCTGTAATTTTCTTACATAATGATATCGAGTATAACTCTTAAAAGAAAAAAAACAAAAAAACAAAAATTATTGTTATATCGATCCAATTGTTTTTGTTATATATATATATATATAGACAGAGATGAGAACAACAAAAACAAAACATAACACTAAATTACGTCGTTGTCATCAAAATCTTTGAGTTGTTTCTACTAATATTTACTCATTATGACTGAAAAAAAAAAGAAATGTTAATGGTTTACTAAGGAAAGACCAAAGAATGTCAGCATTATTTCAAGAGAGAGAGAGTACAAAACTACAACACCTACACGTACTCAACTAGGTAAAATATCTTTTTTTTTTTTAATAAACACTAATCCGTATTAATGAGAGTGATTTGTCTTTTTATAGTGCTCCAGGCTCACTATTTTCTTATTACTATTCTTTTTCAATATTTTATTCATCATCTACACGATTTTTCTAAGCTATTTTATGTTTCTTAAATGTTATTTTGACAACTATAAACTCTTGACTAATCATCATTGATAAATGAAGTATTAGAACAAATAACTTAAATTTTTTAGACATGTGATTTTTTGTCTAAGTGGATAACTCTTGTTGTTGTTGGTGATGATACAATAGTCTCTCTTCTTTAATTGAGTAAAAAAAGTATATTGACACCCAACCAATTTTTCTCTTCTCGTTTTGTTGATGGATTCACTCACGCAGAATAACATCCGTCAAGTCAAATTATTAAAATATTTTTTTGTTAGGTTTTTTTTTTCTTCTTCTTCTTCTTCTCTTGTCTTCTCATTGTATGCATGATGAGCATAGTTCAATATACTTTAACAAAAATCTTTGTCTATCTCATCATTCGACATCGTTATCAGATAATAAATAATTGTGTTTTTCTTCTTTTCTGTTTCATGTGATAAAAAATTTTCTAATATTTTTCACTTCCGATTTTCTTTTCGGTTTTATGTGTGTCGTTCGTTATTTTTTTTTCTTTTCTTTATTATTATTTTTTTTTTTTTTTGTCGAAGAGAAGACCGTAGGGTATAAATAAAAAAAAAAAAAAAAAAAGAAGCAAATTATTACCGAATAAAATTTAGATATATGAAAAGATAATAATAATATGAGAGAAGTTAGAAGAAAGTGAGAAGATAGATCTTGATTTATAGGAAAGAGAAAAATGCTTTTTTATCAGTAAATTTACAGTATGAACAATTTATGATTGCTATATTTATCTATCATTAAATATTGCCATAAATAATAAAAATACTCTATTTACTTCGTTAGACGTTCTAATTATTAGACAAATAGTTGATATTAAAAAAAATGAGTGAGACAAATATCATTGTATGATTTTATTTGTTAGATTTCTCTTATATACAAGAGATTTTAATTTATTTTAAAAAATTTTGTTAAAAATGATATAATCGATTGGTTTAACATAAATTTGAACTAATGTTTTGGAAAATAAAAAGTGAATACTACTCATTGGAGTTCTTCAATAATAGGAGTACCGTACTTTTTCGGGTTCTTGTTAAAAAAAAAAAAGAAATTTTTTTTTTCTATAGAAAAGTTCATTCAAAATATTCTGAAAAACTCTTTAAGAATAAGATAAGATTGTCGAATAAAAAATTCACTTTTTATATTTTTTACCACTTACAATAAGTGGGAAAGAAAACATTTTGTTTTTTCTTCTTCTTCTTCTCTCTATAAAATATTTAATCATTTTTTTTTCTGTCAATTTCAAATACATTTTTTGTTTTTTTCACAAGAGTTAGAAGGATGGTGTTATAGAACCGGAATTGTACAAATTTTTCATATGTATTTGTTCATCTGTGCAAAGAAGCTATAGGCATAATATCGGAAAGATGTGATAGTCTTTTTCATCGCATGAAAAAAAACTCTTAGATAAGAACTACTTAACATTTTTATACAACAAACTACACTAGTTTGTAGAGTAGACGTATATATATATATATGTACAAAATGCATACGTTTAAAGACTATATAATTGAAACAAAAACAGAACAAAAAGGTATTTTTTTTCTAAAATGAAATTTTTATTTATTGTACATTTCATATGGAAATGAGTATTTAGTAAATGACTTTTTATTCGTTATTTTTTCATACTTTTAAATTATTTTTATTATATTATTCAATGGAACAATATTTATTTGTTTCACAAAGTTGAATATCTATAAAAATTTATACGAAAAAACTCTATTAAAGAAAAACGATCTGTTTTTCAATTGTATACTTGTGACTGTGCACAGAAAAATGATAAATAATTTCTGGAGACACACACACATATGTATATATGTGAAAACTAATATTGGTTTTAGTAATGGGAATAAATTTTAAAATAGAATCTATCTATGAAAAGTTCGTGAAAAATTTGACTTTTAACCTTTTGGCTACGGATTTAATTTTTCAGATACAATTTTATACAAAACGTTTCAAATATTGAAACACATGTTTATTTATTCTTAAAAGTTTTGTAGAGTATGAAAATCTTTGAAACAATCAACTAGGCATAAGCCTACATCACACTCTGTGCACTGATAACGTGAGAGTACATCTTTTCTTTTCGGACGTCTGACAGTGTTGCTGCAGACGACACATTTTCTCCTAGGTGCTGACTGTGTGTCTGTGGCTGGAATCGGCGAGAGGAAGTGCCTTGCAGTTAACCTGAGTGGTGCAGTTGTTGATGAAGGTCGACCCCTGGTTGCTACTCGTTGACTACCATACTTTTGGATAATATCCCGAATTAGTTGTAGGCGAAAATCAACTAATTGCATCGTGTGATTTGTCCTCATTTTTGACAATATAAATGCATTGAGAACTGTTATATCCAGTAAGTGAAAGAAGAGTTTTTTATACCATTTGATAGATTTTCAATAATAGAGAGAACAAGAGAAACAATAGACTTCTGAATACCTGCATAAATATCACCGCTAACAGTCAGGTATCATATATGATACTCCCGTAGCCAAAGGGTTAAAGTTGAAGAGAAATCATTAAATATTTTGTATAGAAACATTTTTTCATCATATTTGTTAATTTTCTAAAAAAATTATAATAAGTTAGATAAGATTTTTTTGAATATCTTCTTGTAAAATATTTATTTATTTCAAAATTTAAAGGTATGAGTCAAGATGACAATGAGTATTATGTTTAATCGGGTTCCGTCTAGTCCCAAATTTTGGGATTTGATCATAACTTTTTCGAATCATGAAAATTTTTTTCCTTCTTTTTGAAGATCCATTTCTATTGTGTAACGCAAAACTGTTTAATTTCAATTTTTATCAAATCTGCAAACAAATTATTTCTTAATTAAATGTTCAACAAAGTTTATCTAGCCCATAAACAAAAAATTAAAGAAATCTCTAAAAAATTTTCCAGTCAGGACCAGTTCGAACCATTAGACTTTTTAAAAATTGGGACCAAGTCGAACCACATAGATGATGGTCCGGTCACACTTGGTCCTGAATCGGATCATACGAAGTTCTGGTGTTTAAAACGGTTTTTTTATTATCAATACATATCTCTCTCGTTTACAATATATTTTTAGAAAAAAATCAGACATTCTATAAATAACAGATAACAGCATCGTCATCATTGGTTTTTGATTGACAGTATACATATGTATTAGATACAACTCAAATACACAGACAGCATAGAAAAAAAAATATGATTTATGACATGAGAAAAAAGGTGAAAGATTGTATATCACAAAACATAATGTAATATTATTTCTTTTTGACATTCTTTTGATACATATAAGATGAAATAATTCACATTAGTCGATATGAAAGAGAAGTGTTTGATAATGAAGTTCAAGAAAATTTTCTATTACTATTTTATTATATCTAACGCTTTTATGTATATATATGTGTATTTCATTTATAAATCAGACTTAATTCTATATATGGTTTAATCTACTCTAGCAGATCTATTTTAGTATTTCAGTTCTATATCAGATTATATTAGTTAATTATTATTTTTCGGATTAACAAAAAATCAATATTTTCAGATAATTTCAAATAGAATGATGTTATAAAAATGATTGGCAATTGAACGATGTTATTTCTACTATCAAACTTCGAATATGAGATTGACAAAATCCATTACTGTCAGTTAATAGTTATAATCCAATTGAGACATTAAAGATTGAATGTCAGTATTTTTATTAAAAAAATACCCATTATAATATAAAACATTTTCATTTCTAATAACCAGCTGCAATTCTTCTCATATGATTAGTATTACTGCTTAATTAAGTATAAAATTAACTGTTTGATACATGCCAAATGTGAATTTGATAATCAAATATCAAGGTCGAAATATATTATTAACTTGAGTAAATATTTGACTAGAAACAATCGTAGAGTAGAGAGTAACTCAACTGATTGAAAGTATTAAAAGACATCGTTGTTTATATAGTTCTATTCTCATCCGACACTTACATTAAAATCCTAAGATGAACTGATTAAATCTTCTCATTTTTATTGTTTGTATTTTAACTATCAATCAATTAATATCCGATATATCAATAACAGACAAATAAATTTTAACTTCAAAAGAATCAATTGAACTCTAACATGTAACATTCACGATTCACAAAAATTTAAAGTCAAATATATAAGATAAACTTGTTCGTTTAAATAAAAACTTATTTTAGTTATTAGGAGAAAAAACGATTTGTCAGTTCTGTCATTTTGAAATGACAAATAAAAAAATAAGATTAGAACAATAATATATATGAATTATTGCTAGAATCAATCTAAAACTAGTTTAATCATAAAATTAAGTATGAAGCTATATTCTTCTTCAAAAATAATTTTTTATTTACTAGAAATTTTGTATAACTAAATAAAGGTATAACACACACACTACATGGAATAAAGCAAAAAGAAAAAGAAGAGCGTGATACGGCAGTTTTTCAAGAAACATAATTTATAACGAAAATTATTTACAAATGATATCACAACTTTCCTTCCGACATAAATTGATGAAATGATCTGAAATTTTTAGGCGAAACACTGCAAGACTTGCACTATCGGAAATCAATGTCAATATTTTGTACAAAAATCATTTAAGCTTTCTTTCGCAAGTTATTAGGCGAAAAAATGATTTATCTGTTCTGTCATTTCGAAATGACAAATAAAAAAATAAGATAGAACAACGTTTGAGAAACACAATATTTTGAATAAAAATTTTTTACATAGATTACGATTTTTAGAAAAACATTTGATAATAATCACATAATATTCGGGGCTAAAATTGTGAAACTCCTATACCTTACATTTGATCGTTTAACTAACATACCTGATAATCTTTATTTTTCGGCATAATAATTCAACTCTGCTTTACTTTTTAATCTTGATTATTCGGTTGCTAATAATATTTTCGTTTAGTTATAATTTAAGATAGATACTGGATCTACTAGACGAGGTGGCGGAAGGAGCGATTAATACTAGAAATTTCGAGTATATAACCTTAAAACCATTCTACTATGGAGTTATGGCGAGGAGACTCACAAAATACAATTTTCTCAAACAAAACTTGTCTGTTGATACTATTTTTAGAATTATTCCTCATGTGACAACAAAACGAAGAAGAATAAAGTATTATATTATTTCTAAGATGACGTCTTGGGATACACACTTGATTTTCTCTATAAAATGAGATTTGCCATTTACTTTCAGAGATAAAGATTTTCAAATTGAAGCTAGAATTTGACGTTTTTATCCATTTCAAAATTATTATTACAGTCAGTAGATCAAAGTCTTAACTCCAAAGTGAAACATCTTCAAAAATGCTTCTATGAAAACCTTTTTAAACTGTTCATCAGAAGTTCAGTAGATATTATGTCGATAATGTGATATTTGTATCTTATTTCGAGAAAAAGATGAATAATGATTATTTTTCGTGAGATCTTGTGAAAAAGCTACCACATTTTGATTGTTGAAACTTTGAAAATAGTTTTTTGTTGTAACGTTCAAATTTGTGAAATTTTTATTTTGTCACTGGAATATTCTAAGATGCCTTCAGATTGCTTTGCAATGAAAATTTTCCTCAGAAATCTCATTTGTATCGCAATCAATATTTTACTAGGCAATTATATCGAACTAAGTGTACCTCAGATATGAATTATTGCTTGAATCAATCTGAAATTAGTCCGGGTAGAGAAAATTGTCTTATCTTTTTTGTAAATGATCTTATTTTAAAATACTTTTTTTCCAAAGAGTGCAGTGTTTATGCTTTAATCTAAGAATTTGATTGCGACAATTATGTACTCAATGCCATACTGTAATAGACAAATTGAGTTTTAAAGTCGAACGCAGTGTAATAAATAATGTGGCGATTTTTCTTAGCTGATATAGAATACTTTGAAATTTTCTAGGTAAAGCATCTGCCTCTGTTCTCAGAAATATGTGACACGGTGCATGTTTTTCAAAGTTATCCACAACAGATATAAAAGCCCATGTTAAATGTCCATAGTTTTGCTATCAAAAGAATCAAGATTAGATAGATATAAACAGTAAGTACTAATAATTTAACATCACTAATTTGTCACCCACGCTCGATTTGCCTTAATAATATTGAATTCATACTAATACATCATCAATCCACGTTTTTTCATAATTATAGGCATCAGATAAAACTACCATGCAAGTCTACACGTTATTGTTAATAATTGGCTGTACGTTGGCTGTAACAAAATCAGCATTGTCTGCTACATGTAATTGTAATTGTTGTGATAGTGGAATCGACTGCCGTCCATATCCATATGGTTTAATATCAGTTTCATCTTGCACTGGCCGTTCATGTCTTGACTCATGTTCTCAACAACATCGTGCCTGTTATAATGCTTATTATAACGAAATGGGACGAATTAATGTTGATTGCAATCAAGGTGGTAGTACCGGGTCATCATCACCAGTACCAACAAGTCCTACTCCAACAAGAGCTACTCCAACAGCGCGTCCAGGTAGTACAGTACCAGCCAAACCTACTACATGTGTGTGTAGTTGTTGCTCGGGAGTGTTATGTACTCCAAAACCTCAATATTCATTCTTTGATGCCGGATGTACAGATAAGAGCTGTCATTCCCGTTGCAAAGAGTTGGTGAAGGATCCATGTGATAAATTTATTGGCTCAAATGCGGCTTATTGTGGTTACTAGTAATGTTTTCTTTATAAAGTTTTTTAACTTTTATGCTTAGCTTTTTAATAAATATCTTTCATTTGTGTTGAGTGATAACTTCTATTTCTAGCATCATCCATGTAGTATGAAATAATTTTTGCTGGAGCTTCTGAATCTGAAATCGATAAGCCTTCAACAAAGAAAAAATTATTTTTTTCTCAAAACCTAGTGATACACAAGTCTATCGAACCACGTGACTTCGCCATCTATAACGATCGGAGTTATCGGCAGCAGCACGTGTCAAAGACGAGAAGAAAGTTCATTGAGTAAAAAAACTAAATATAGAGTTTGATGAGGACAATCCAGATTAACGGTCGCAACTAACTCGCGGCGTGATCGCGATGCCGCGCTAGCGATCGCTGTTATGTCGCGGAGAGATCGCTATAAAGTCACGCTATCGCGGCGCGATCTCGGTAAAATGGTATTTTTTTGAAACAGTATCTTGTGCGACTCGCGAAGCGAATCAAAACTCGCGGCGCGATCTCGGTAAAATCGTATTGTTTTCGTGACGGGACAGCGCGAGTTGCGTCGCGAATGTAGCGACTATATAGGAAAAATCCCGTTCCATCGCGACTTTATCGCGATAGTCGACATGAGAATGCTGCCCTTGCAGTTTATCATAATCCTCATCATAAAATAAATATACGTCACTTATTTAACCACATATAAGGGACGTTATTAAGATGTATTCGGCTTACGTAAAATTATATTAGATAAGGCAGAATGTAACAATGATTGAGAAACATCTTACGTCATTGATACTTTCTCATCACTTAAAATCTCTTCAAACAACTTTCTCATGTATGTTTTATGAATTTTCATGTACTATCGGTTTCAAAATAGAAGGCATACTACCGTTTTCTGAATAACTTTTGGTAGGAATGAGATACAGGCCTTCGGATTTCAGCATTTGATAGAGAACACTTTTGGAGTTTGTTTAATCCTGACAACAAAACGAACATTACCACGAGATTTCCGTGTTCGAAAACCTAGGTTTCATGTGTTTTTAAGGTTTTCGAACTTCAGGTTTAGCCGATAGGTAGGTTCTCGAAGCGCCCAAACCATGGTAGATAGAGACTTGGGACTTACGGCAGGTTGTAGAGTGACATCTGTCGTATGTCCACATGTGCTTAGAGCACTACTTTGCTATGTAGATTTTTGAAATGGCAAGGTCAGACATTTTGTTTCGAAAGGTGCACCGTGTATACCATTTTGGGAGACTGTTTTTTTCATAGGGCTATAGCCCCAAGTGTTCTCTATCAAATGCTGAAATCCGCAGGTCTGTATCTCATTCCTACCAAAAGTTATGCAGAAAACGGTAGCATGCCTTCTATTTTGAAATGGATAGTAACGGGTGGGCCAGAAATAATGACGCAGTTTTGTTCTACTTTCTTATACACCATGTCCAGTCCAATGGTAAAATCAGGTTTCTTTCATTTTAACTTTCATAATGGGATTCTGGAAAACCTGGATTTTGAGCTTACAGGTCGTGAGATCATTTTTATAAAAAAAATTCTACGCTAACTGAAATTTGTATTCAATGCATTCATCGAATATAGCATATGGCACTGTATCTAAAAAGTTATTTTGATAAAAACAATGTTATTTTTGGAGATTATGAGAGGTTTTCCGCTGAAAAACCAGGGTTTTCTAGAGATCTTCTCTCGTAGGAAGAGCTAAAAAGTTAAATGTTTTTTGTTTTTCCCAGGAGTTTTCTAGAAACCTCCTAAGAGTTTTGCAACTGTAAAAATAAATATTGGAGTTAAAATTAAATTTTTTTCATAGATATATAGTCCGAAGTGTCCTCTGCAAAACTGGATCCAAGCGACAACTTTCAAATCCATGGTTCGGGAGCTATGAATGTTTTTCCTAACGCCTTAGCAGTCCTCTGCCATTAGGTTTGGGACTGTCAGAAATGAATGAAAACATAGATTATCGACTATACTGCATCTCGTAGCAATGCTAGTTTCCAGAACAAAATGCAACAACCGAGTGAAAACCTATACTAGATGAAAGAACCCATTTTTGATTATTTTCATGAAAAATTAAATAATTCATAACGCAGTTTTTATACGCTTAAATGTAACAAACCTGCATTCTACTCCTAAAGTCTAATCTGTAAAGTGGAACAGTTTATTCTATCTTTTAAGCTTGAAAAATTTCGATATATTTTGTAGTTTTGAAGTGCCCAAAGTTTTTACAGATAAAATGATTAATATCTGTCGAAGTCTACTGATGAGAAAAATGTTAATCAGAACATGTGCTGATGTCTACGATTAATGAATCTGTTAAACAGCATTTTCAATAAACAAAACATTTTCAAATGTAAAGTTATAGTAATAAAAGACCATCATGTTCGTTTTTTGAGTAATAATACTAATTAGTGGAGGACATTTTTATAAATAAATATTAGATCTTTTATTCGTGGTCAAGAAATAACAGGAACCATTTCATTATCACAATAAGTTGTACTTAAATCTAAATGATTAACACGCTAAATAAACTGGGTAAAATAAAAAAAAACAAGCCGCTCAAATTTATTTACACAAACTAGAAAACTTTTGAATTTATTATTAACTAAACCTATTGTTACTAAACAAATCATTTTTTCGGTTAGTTTTCTAATGGTTTTAGTTGGTAAATCTAGAGAGAGAAAACCTTTTGAAAAAATACAAGTGTGATTGGACCCATACTTCTTATGGTGTCGTTCGCTGAAACTATTTTTCAATTACTCAGTAGTTTTCTTCAAATTCACTAAGTGACATTGAATTTAACAATCATGCTACTTTCATCCAAAATTGAAAAGACCGAGGATCATTTTAGAGTATATGACAGTTATTTTTGTGGTTATTAGAGTCTAATATGGCTCAGCAGATATAAATTTCATAAAGTCCTCTGAATTATTTTTGTAACGGTGGCCGTTTTCGACTTTCTGCATATACATCGAAAATACTGTCCGACCAACCATTTTCCCACATTATGTAATTTTTTCCGTTAGATTTTCGTAATCTTTTCTCTTTAGAAATATCGATGAATTAAGAAAAAAAACGATAATATGAAATATGTTTATCTCATGACACATTAAAGTACGTCACAACTATCGTATATAAATGTGGTGGAATTATTTAAGTATTTTGTATGAATAACCTCTCATTTTTCTGGTCAAACACAACATTTTTATGATATTTTAAACTCAACTTGTTTGAACTAAATAAATTTTGTTTTACAACCGCTTTTTCGTTATAGAAAAGCTACTCTACAATTAGCATTATTAGTTTATATCACTTTGTGATATTGCAGCATTGTTTACAGCCAATGTAAAGAGAAATTTTAATCATTCACAATAGAAAAATTGAGAGGACACCATTTATCTTAAATCTTAAAATAATCTCTTTAAGTTTACAAAGATTATTTTATCGATCACGAAGTATTGGTATAAATCAGTATGGTATACGCCATTCCGTTTATATGATAACTAAGATGCCATTAAAACAAAACTATGTAAATTATTGCCAAGAAGAGATTTTCATTTTTTTTTAATAAAAGTTATTTTCTATTGTTAATCACTCCTGAGAGGGAGATATTAGGTCATAGTCACTAAAATAAAGTTTTTGTTGTTTAAAGTTCACCATTTTCACTGTTACATTAAATTATTAATGCTACATTTGGTTGACCAAGTTTATTTTATATTCCCGTTGAAATTATTTTGGGTACCATTCATTTTCAAAATGTCGTCTAACGACTGAAAATTGATGAAATTTATTTAGGAATAACAGGCGACTTATATGCAAGTTATTTATAAAACTTAGAAAACACGTTTTGGCAACATCAAAATGGCTGTAATCCACACTCTTGTATTCGTTACATCCATCATCCAAATCACAGTCGTATAGGAGGACAATTATATACCATTCTGTCAGTTATGTCTACCTGTAATGAGACCCACAAACGAGCAGGTAAATTATATTAATATAATAACTTTATTAAACATTTCGTTTAGCTAAGCATATACTATTGTTCTAGAAAAAATTTATTCTCGATCATGACCGACATAAAAGGCCGTTCGCCGTTCAGTCGCCGACATATTTGCCACTTAGTTTTTCGTTTCGTCTCAACATTAGACTCTTGTCTGTAGGTTAAATAACGAGTGGCGCGTAAGAAATGACCCTCTCAGTACTAGTGCAATACCACTTTCAATTTTCGTCGTATTATTACTAATCATACAAGAATCTTACAAAATCTGATAAAATCTTAGTATAAGATCATACGTCAAGAATCAGTTTCTATGCTTTTTACAGAATCTTACTAATTTCTGTAAGAATCTTACAACATCAGACGAAATCGTACAAGAATCCTATAAGATCTTACAGTAAGATTCTTTGATCTGACTGGGGGAGGTATACAGGTAATCTATAGGACAGAACCAGAGACATAATCTTGTAAGATCTGATGAATTCTTATATGATCTTATGAAATGTTTCAAGATCTTCTCACTTCTTACAAGACCCTATCACAACCTCTTGCAAGATTTTACGAAATCTTGTGGGAAACATCGGTTCCTACCGGAAGAAACACGAAGTTGCTGTAACGAAACATCGGCGTCTTAACGAAAAAATACGAAGCTCTTGTGGGGAAACATCGGTTCCTTCCGGAAAAAACATGAAGTTGCTGTTTGTCAACATCGGTTTCATCGTTAGAAAACATGGAGCTCTTGGGCAGAAACATCCCTCTCTTGACAAAAAACCATGAAGTTCTTGCGGATAAACATCGCCTCCTTCCGGAAAAAACATGAAGCTCTGTGGAGAAACATCGATTTCTTGACGAAGAAACATGAACTGCTTGAGGAGAAACATCGGTTCCTTCTGGAAAAACGACGAAGTTGTTGCGCAAAAACATCGGTGTCTTGACGAAAAAACGTGAAGTTCTTGTGAGGAAGCAGCCTTCCGGAAAAGATCTGAAGTTGTTGCGGGGAAACGTGG